TCATATTTTCAGATAAATATGGGTAAGAAAAATAAATGATGTTAAAAAGTAATGAAAGAATCTGCTAAGTATACCTAAAAGCCGAAACATTCAAGGTAAAGATGCCTACATAATGATAACTTCATAAGATTGGAGGCAATGCGAAGCTGCTTATGAAATTGTGTCTGAACAACGAATTCTTCCAGCCTCCAATGTCAAATGTGTAAAACTTTGTGATTGGCTGATGGCTTTTATAGTGTACACAGTTCGCAGCTCCCATTGGTTGATAGTGACTCCACACACAAGTGCATCAAATTTGCACGTGCTGTTATGATGCGTCTGCAAGACATTTTGGTTCTGTCTATCTGCAAACACGCACCTTTATTTCCGATACAGTGTATTTGATTGAACGCATTTTTCACAATTGGGTATATCACTACTTTTGGTGGACAATGAGAGTTTTATTCTAAAATAAGCAATATGATGAAACTGAAATAGAAACATCTCGCGTATCACTCACTCGGGAAACTGCAAGATGCCGATGTCACAAGAAAAGCTCAACCACTGAGAAGTACAGAAACGTGCATATGCGAGTTCAACAGAAGACTTTGACAACGCAGTCAATGACTCGTATAAACTTTTTTAGATGTAACTTTTCTATTGTAGGACTACAGAATTTAATTTGACATGCTCCGTTTTGTTTTGCGGTGAGCATCACGTTGAGCACATTAAATTATGTCCATTGTGTATATAAATAAATTTGGCACCAACCTATTCATGCTTTCGACTCGCGCAATATTAAACTGAGCACAAGCTTGATCTCGTGTAACACATTAATCCACGTATTATTATGCCCATAATTGTGACATATTTAATTTGACATGCTCCGTCTTGTTTTTTGGGGATAGAATAACATGTTGAGCACATTGTATGATGTTCATTGTGTGTGTATGTTTGGCACCGACACATCCATTTTCTGGATATTTTACTGTCAATAAGGCGAGTTTTTGTGTTTTTATATTACTTTACAATTTTATTTGTGATTTTTTTTTCTTTACAGAATTGTTATCCATACATGTACTGTGAAGATTCTTATTAAAAACATGCAAAAACTAATTGCCATGGTATTTTACTACCCGTAGAAAACATGAATCGAAAAAAAAAAACAAATTTTAAATCTTAGGCTTCATATTTAGATTTGTAACTACATGTACTGTTTGTTTGCTACGAATGTGAGCCACATTCGATTACCTGGATAACCTCACTCGCTGGGTATTTTTAAAGTCATGTTAAATATTGTACAACTGAGCACAGAGGGACTGTGCACTGAGGCATGTTTTTTGAGATAACAAGAACTAAGCATACGAAGTAGAATTGGATATAGTTAGGACATGAGTAACGATGAAAGAAGTAATCTACTTGAACAAAGCTAGGGAATTAGCAAAATAAGAATTAGAAAGAAAGACACCCTCTATTGTACATGATTTGATTATTCTATTATTTGTAAATAATTTTCTATCCATATTTCTGTTATTTTTTTTCCTATCGTATGATTTGATTTTACGAAAATGGGGACATTTTAATTTTTCGTTGGAAGGAACAGTGTCACCAATGTGCATGTCAGTAGTGTTCACTTTTCCATGCAATATCACTTTAATTTCCACATTCCCACACCTATATGTAATTTTCTAATGTATTGTTTAAGCCTGGCCATTTTCAAATGTCAAATGCCATTGTCAAATGTCATCACGACTGTCTAGCACTCCTTATTTGGCATGTTATTAAGTTCTGATCAACCACGTTGACTTATGCTTGGCATCGTAGTGACGTCACGGTATCACGTGGTTTCACTTGTAAATAGACTCTTAAGAGGAGCGTGATGAGGGGACTGGTGGCTGCAAAGCCAACGCCTGGGAACCAAGTTCTTATCACT